GGTCTGAATTAAGGCATCGGTTTGATGGTCAACATTAGCGGTCGCCTCGTCCAGCACTAGTACCCTATTGTGCCGCAGTATAGCCCGCGCCAGACATACCAACTGCCTCTGACCTACACTCAGATTAGCGCCCCCTTCGGCCAACTGGCCGTCCAACTGGCCCGGGAGGTCCCCCACCGCCCCCTTCAGCTGCACCTCTTCTAAGGCACTCCATATCCTTTGGTCGCTGTATTCGCCGAAAGGATCCAAATTTCTTCTCACACTTCCCGTGAAGACCACCGGGTCTTGAGGTATGATTGAGATCTTTGACCGCAAGTCATGCAAACCTACTGAACCCATGTTAATGCCGTCCATAACTATCTCCCCCTTCGGCTCAACCATACGAAACAGCGCTGATATGATGGACGACTTGCCGGCGCCCGTCCGCCCACAGATCCCTATCTTCTCTCCACTCTTTATAACACAACTCAAGTTCTTGAGCACCGGTTTGTCTGATCCCTCGTAACACAAACTCATATCCTTGAGCTCTATCTGTCCCTTCTGTGGCCAATCGGGAGGGGGTTTATGGCTATCATGTGCTGTGAGGGCCGCCTCTTGTGGTAGTTTTGAGTACTCAATGATGCGCTCGACTGAAGTCATCTGACTCTCCATCTCTGCCGACTGTCGGGCTCCCCATTGAGTCGAATGCGGTAACATTAGGGCTGATTTATTAATTAAAATCAAAGTTGTGTTAAGTCACCTGCATTGGAGTATTTTAACAATAATGTTAACCAAACCTGATGTTAAAGCGAGTCCCACTTCTCCCGCTCCCAACTGTTCGGGGAATACCATAAACACCGCAAATGCGATAACCGTATAGAGAAAACACAATCCGTCTATTATTAAACCAAATGCCCGGTTAGCAGTGATAACGAGCATCCAGGTGGCCGAGTGATCATCTTGGTAGACGTAGAATTGTTGCTTGAACATCTCCTGTGCCCCAAAGGCCCTAACACTAGTTAACCCATTGAATGTAGTGCTCACGTGTGAAAACACTGGACTCCGGGCTATAAGATATTTTATAAATTATTATTAATTTTATTATTTATGATCTTGTGGTTAAAACTTACTTAAACCGTCGGCTCGTTTAATGTCCCTGGCTGATTTAATGTAAATTGCTCTAGCTGTTAAAAGCACTACAAATACAATAAATGCTGGTATGATCATGTATGGATTGACGATTGCGATCATTATTATTCCACCGATACCTTGGGTTATACTCTAAATAATGATTACAATATAAAGAGATAATTAATTCAGAGAAAATTTAAACTCATTGGATATGTGACATAACAATTTACCAGGTTGACCTCAAACGCTGTACTTGGCAGTTGCTCATCAATTGTACCAAGATCTTTTGAAAAGCGATTTAATATCCTACCTATTGATCATAATGATTATTTATTGAGTTATACTGTATAATAAAATAACTAACCAACTGAGTTATTGTCAAAGACAGATATTGGGGCCCGTAATAGACGATAGAATATAGTGTTGTGGAGATTAACCGAAGCCCTCATAAACATCACAAACCATGTGATGGCTCTCAATAGGGATGCGATGAACAGCGCGGCCATCATTGAGGAGTAGATAATCACATCTTTGTTTTGATCATTACTATTAATATTAGCCGTGTTTTGATTTTTGTCAGTCCTTTTGTAATTAAACATATAAATATTTAAAAATAATAAACATGTTCAATGATTTCAATTTATTCACCATTGCGTAAGAAAATAGTCCGATCCGCTATAAATAATTTGAGCGATTATTGTAAATAAAAGTGTGACGGAAAATAGTAATGTGCCGGCGCCTGCCTTAATAAATGTGCAATATACTTTGCCAGATATTGAACCCGTTTCCCGGCACTCGTCAATAATATTGGGGTCACTATCTTTCTGTTCATCCTTGATCAAATTAAGAATGATCATTGATTAATTTAAATACATTTGTACTTATTATTGAAAGAAATAATTGTAATAAAATACATTTTACACATATTATTACCTGATACACAATCATTTGATGTAAAGTCAATTTACATTAACATTAATTAAAACTAAATAACGTGAAATGAAATCATTATGTTTGAACTTATGAATACAGTATATTATAAATAATGTTTACATTTATTACCGTTAAACTCTCTGTCATAGAAGTTATCCGAAATTTTATTTTTTTGTCGTAACTCTTTTGTGAAATCGTACGCTTTAGTTCACTCGTCTCCCTGTTCTCCGCCTCTGCCTTCTTATCGTCCGCTTCCCTCTCCTGATCGCTGAGAATAGACATGAAGTCTAAGCCCCGGGACTGGAGCTCATCATAGGATCCCAATCCCAGACACTTTCCCTCGTCGTTCAAAACCAATATTTGTGTCGCTTTTCGTATGAATTGGATTTGATGTGTGACTAGAATACGGATTTTGTCGCACAAGTAGTCGACTATACATCTGGTGTTCATTATATCGCGAATACATTATATGTTAGACTTATTTGTAATCATAATTATAACAATCATTGCATTACTTATCAAATATATGTTCGGCAACACTAGTGTCGACAGCACTCAACGGGTCGTCCATTAATACGATGTCTGAGTTCCGGTACAGAGCTCTATATAAATAATATTATAAAGTAATTATTATTAAATATTTCAAAGGTATATATAAGTATAATAGATTTATCATATTTATAATAATAAACTATTTTATTTAATTATATTATATTTGCACCCAAACCTGGCTAACGTGATGCGGGCCTTCTGTCCCCCCGATAGCTGTACTCCTCTCTCACCGACTAATGTCTTGTCTCCGAACGGAAATATCTCAAAGTCTCGCTTCAAAGCGCACACCTCTACCACTCGTTTATATCGGGATTCGTTATATTCGGCTCCAAAAAGTATATTATTTCGGACACTAGTATTGAAACTCCAGGACTCCTGAGAGGCATAGCTTATCGATCCCACCGTTTTTATACTCCCCGACAGCACCGGTAGTTCTTTCAATACTGTCATTAATAATGAGCTCTAAATAGTTTTTAAATTAATTATCTGTGAATTTATAGTCTATTATTTAATAGTGTGCATACCTTTCCCGCCCCCACCGGTCCGATCACAGCTAATAAATCTCCGGGTTTTAAATGTGCAGAAATATTCTGAAGGGTTGGATACGGGCTCTCCTATTAATAAATTATAAAGTATAATGAATAAAGATAAAAAGTAATATTTCATACATCACTCCATTTAGTTGTTATGTTATTAATGGACACTTCGGGCGATTGTTTGACATTTTTTGGCACTTTATTGTAACCTTTAAATAATTTATTTGGGGTTTGGATTGATTTTATTTGTGTTTCTCCTAATTGCAAAAATTCCTCAAAAAATATTAATAAAATGATTGAATTATTTAATTATTTACACCATGGTCAATGTTACTTGTATTCTATTGCAAGAAACTAATAGCTCGGCGCCAAAAGTAATTGCCTGTGGAAAGAACCAGGTCATTTTGTCCTTAACATTATTGAATAGCATCATTGACACAAATACAGTCTTAGCGGTCAGTACATCACCGCTTAATACTAAAGTAATAAAACTGGAAAATAAGATCAATTTGGATGCCATACTATATAACGACAAATTGATTGCCTTTAGAAAACAAGATTTCTGTATACACGACACTTCTTGTCTAATTGTATTGAAAATTTTATTATTGAACATAATTAATTTATAAGTTGTATAAATTATGGTCATTTACTTTCGTGCCTCAGCCACGAGGTCTGTGAAGGACTGTTCCCAGGAATACATTTTAACGATTCGCATACCGGATATGATCTCAACCATATGCCGGAGCCTATTGTCTGTAAGCTTAGCTGTCATTAATCTGAGTAATGAATAGAATAAATGAAATTGATAAATGTTCTGTAAAACGAATAAGATTAAATATGTTATAACATTAGTATTATCCTAATGCATAATTAGGACATACCTAACTTTTGAAAACATTTTGCCCATGAACAATTGTAAAACAATAAGTAAAACTATTAAACCAACTGGCACCAAACTTGCACATCCCATACATGTGTACGTTATATATATAATAATGCCCGTCTGAATGGGCGCTATTATAAAATAACTGGCAAACACTGCAAACTAAAATAAAAAATTCATCAAATTAATTAATAAACTTGGTAGATTTGAATAATTAAAATTTTATATACCTCATCAAATCTATTTGTATCGTTTGTCATTAAGTTTATAATCTGACCCAAAGTTGTCTTTCCGATTGATAACTGATTCAGTTTAAGTGACTATTTTTAGCATAATTTAATTAATTAATAATTTATTTATCAATGTTATTTTTGACAGTATAAATAATGTAAAATGTAATTATTTTTATCTTAAGTTTAAGAAGATTATTGTTTAATCTATAATAGTTATTTACTATTGTATTTCATTGACCAGTTTTATGAATAAACATTCATTCATTTATAAAAAATAAAAAGTTACATGATCTCATGGTTAATTCAACACTCAACCACAATCACAACAATGATTATAACAACAATTATGATAATAATATTGGAGTTTTTGTCAATTCTTTAACTAATCAACTATTTTTTAATTAATCTGGTATTTTATGACTCATTGATCCTTTCCATATTTATTTATAAGTAAAGTATACAAAGGGGGAAAATTATCTTTGGTGCAAATTGCCTGCCCTATTGATATTGGTATGAAAATGTGCAGAATTGTAACCAGATGTTTAATAAATTGTCAAAATCGGCAAATGGCCAAAGACATTCGAGTAGTGGCCAATTTTCAAATCACGCGTCTATTGCTTATAGCATTGAGAAAAAGGTGATTCACATAATGAATGGTTGATCACATGAATGTAATGCTATAAGCAATATTTGAAAATTGGCCACTACTCGAAATTCTTTGGCCATTTGCCGATTTTGACAATTTATTAAACATCTGGTGACAATTCTGCATATTTTCATACCAATATCAATAGGGCTGCAATTTGCACCAAAGATAATTTTCCCCTAAGTCAAATATAAAGTATTTTTAATTAACCTTTTTATACATTAGAGTACAGCAGGCACTGCGGGCTCGCATTCCCAGTTGCTTTAAACGAGTCACACTCGCGCTATAAAACATAATGTATAATATGGTGCACAGACACACACCCCCGGCCGCCAAACAGGCATGGTCATGTTTTATAAGATCATTGCCGCCAAAATAATCTATAATATATCCGAGTAGTATAGGCTGTGCCATACTTACCACACATTCCTATCATGAATAAATATTAATTATATATGTAGCATATTTACATTCATTATATAAATTATTTCGCTTTTAAACAATTAATGGGACAATTGATTGTATTTAATTTTTATTAAAATTTATCTAGGATAAATACTAATTAATCACACACAATTTCTTTTAATTCCATTTATTACGTCCATACATTAAATCCTAATAACTGTCCCATTAATTGTTTAGAAACGTTATTGTGGTTTAATTTTATGATAATTTAATAAATAACTCACGATAAATAAAAGCAATATGAATGGTATGATATTGAATTTGGCAAACGTTTTGAATAATGCAATATACAATCTTGGTGTTTGTTTTTTTAGTTCAATGTTCCAATTTCTACATTAATATAATGTTACAGTATTTTAAATAATGTAACCACACTAATGTTACAATTTTTTTAATTTTCGATTAAAATGCTAACTAAAAATGGAATTGATAATTTTTGCCACCCCCTTATATATTTTCAATGTTAGTCATTTCAAATATGTGAGGTTTAAACCCCGCCTTCTGCTATAGATTTATGGACTGTTTGTATACTTCTCTAAACATTTAGCCAAATACTCGGAGGCGTCGTATTGTGAGCACCGATACATGTCATCAAAATCCAAACGATTATTTCGCATACCTTTTACAAATAATGGATACATCCACCTAGTTAGTAAAGTTAACATAAATAGTTTATTATAATTGATATACTGTACTATATAAAGTTATATTATATAGTTATACTATATAAAGTTATATTATATAGTTATACTATATAAAGTTATAATATATAATTAAAATTAATTTTTATTATAAATTTAATATAAAAATTATTATATATTTATAGATAACTTAAATATTAATCATATACTAATATATTGACTCACGAAAATATTAGCTTTTGAATCCAATTTGAATTGTCCCATGGTGATTTTCTAATGATTTTAGCCCTAACGTCCATGATTTACTTATTATTTCACTTATTTTATAACTGTCCTACAAAACTATGGTTTGACAGTATACAAAATTATATCAGCATATTTGTAACTCCAACTTCGTCTACTCAATTAATAATATTATATTACTTTTGTGTGTAAATGTAGTTATGCACGTAGTGTTCCCAGAAGCTCCCTGAATGGCAAGAGTCTCCAGGAATTGAGGTCTAGCTCCTGTCTCCCGGTGAGGGTCTCGCCTTGATATGGGAAACTCAAGGAATTTAAAACGCAATTAAGACAGCATGTTGTATGTAAAATATCAATGAAAATAATTTTGATGATATTTAAATTGATATTAAATAAGCAGATTGTTAATGTTTATGTTTACCCAAAAATATTAACTCCGTAATCTGGCTTAAAAATATAAATAAGTTTACTAAAAGGCAGTTATGAACTTGTAATGCAATATAAACTAGAATTTAGAAGAGTTTAAATAATTATATTTGCTTTAAAAACGTATCAAGGAATTTTCAATAAAATCTCAAGGAATCTCAAGGAAAATATTACTTAAAAATACATTTCTCAAGGAAATTAAAATATTGATCTGGGAACACTATCTACACGAGCCGAAATTGATAGCCTTTATTTTATTTTCACATACATTATTTTTATTAAAATGTTAATTAAAATGAGAGAGAGAGAGAGAGAGA